AAAGTCTGTTTTCACACGATGAGGTGTGTTCCTGTTTTTAGTTTCTTGTGATCTTTTTCTATTCCTTTGTATACGTTATTTCCCTCTTTCCTTAAGAGCTATTTCCCTCTCCAGAACTTTAACGGAAGTTCAGTTTGATGTTCTGTTATATTATTGTTAAGATTCAGCACATCAGTTCTCTTGGAATCTGTCATTTCTGGTGATCCCCTTTGCCGGATACTTAATTCTTACATATCTTATGCTGTGTATCTGGGGTATCTTATTCTGTGCGGGTGATTTTTTTTTCGATGCATCCATTTTCACAAGAACACAGGGAAAGTGGTGCCCACACAAAAGCAGGAAAGACATAGGCAGAGCCATGTTATTTGCAGATGAGGGACCAAGGGGTGCTGCGGTCTGGAAAGACCCATCCTCTGGTTCCTAGATTAAGCCATTCTCTGGGAGTTGCAAACAGGCAGAGTTGGGGTTCAGCTGTTGAACAGCTTCATGGGCAGCTTGGAAAACTATCCCAAAGGAGAAGGCTCCCTGTCTGGAATGCGGCAGGATTCATTGAGCATCTAACACGTTGCCGACGCCGGTCGTAAGCCCTGGAGGTACAGCGGTGCATAAAACAGTTTCTGCCCACTTGATGCTTCTGTTCAAGAAAGAAGACAGCCAGTAACGAAAGGAACTAATATGTGAATAATGTCAGGAAATGATAAATGATATAAACAAAAACGAAGCAGGGTAAGAAGTGCTATTGTGTACAGGGGGTTCAGGGAAGATGATGAGGTGGCATTTGAGCCGAGATCCCGAAAGGGAGAAGTGACGGATGTGGTGAGGGCTGCCAGCAGGGGAAGCCGGGATGGAGCAGGAGGGCCAAGCACCCACATGCCTGGCTTGTTTCAGCTGGGGGCCCAGTTTCTCACCTAGACAGTTTATTCACTGCTGCATCTGTTGATCTCATTTTTCAACATCATCAGAAGAGCGCTAAAGTATTAAATCCCCTCCCATGCGCCAAGCTTTGCTAAACTCCTTATGTGTATTCTAATTCCCTCAGCAACACTGCATGTTAGGTCACTGTCCCCGTTTTACAGATGGGGACACTGAGACTTGCTGCATCCTCTCAGTAACATCCATGCAGTTCTCACCTACCCCACTGGGAAAATACTCTGTTCGTCGCTGATTGTTATGTGCTTGAGGTGCGTGTATTAGGCCAAAAGCACACAGGTCTATAGAACCTAGAGTGTACTAGAGACTTCCATGATCAAATCAAACCTGAAGCTGGACGGCCAGCCCTTGACTACTTGTCTAGTTAAACTTCAGAACAAAGATACTCTCTTTGTCCGAACTCACTCTTTGAGCCGTACCTCTTTAAAGTAGCAGAACTTAAAATTAGGATAATGGTCTTCCCTTCTCTTTTCCTTCATATCCCCAGTTCTTAGCCTGGACGTTTCAACCAGCCAACCAAGAACCCACACCCTGGAACCTTGGAAATGTATGCTGTGTGTTGACATAAACTTCTTGAAGGTTCCAGGGAAATAATCCAGACAGCTGAAGAAGACACGGAAAACCCATGCAGGGTCGGGGCACAGTGGGGGAAATTTCCAGAGGCAAGGACTCCTCGAGGTTTTTGACTCTGCACCAAGATGCCCCTTTTCTTCATACAGCCTTCGTGGTCAGCATCACTGGGCCTTTCCAGCCTTCCTCACAGGGATCTTGTTCCCCGTAGCTTTCAATGTGTCCTTTGCACAAGGTTGGGAACTGTGTCTCCTGGTCCCAATTCTGACTGCGGCAAATGGTCTTTACAGACATCCCTTTCTGTAGCCCCATCAGGGGAAGGGCTTCCTTGGTCGGGGGAATTGTCATGTTTCTCCCAGACCCAGCTCACTGCCACTTCTGCTTTCTGACAGCTGAAGGCTTTTGGGTTCTCTTTGTAGCACAAGTCTTTATAAATCTAAATGAGACGTGCAGTCACGTTACAGAAGGTCTGCCCGCGCGCGGGTGGGGTGTGTGTGCCAGTAACCGGTTCTCAGTTTCCCTTTCTAGAACGATGCCGACCCTTACTCTCCGTGTCTTTGACTTCCAGGTTTTCTGTCCATGAAATATTTGGTTCTCAGAGCGGCTGGCCGGTGATAATAACAAAAATGGAACCGATTTGAGTTTGAATTTAGTTTTCAGCTGACTGTAGTCATAACAGATAGGACGAGCATGAGCCCTGTGGTCTGTGGCCTTGGCTCCTCTGAGGCTTCCCCACAGGGAACAGGGTGCCTTTCCCACCCGGCGGGTATCAACAGTCCAGGAAATCACGCCAGCAAAACAACTATTGCCATTTTCCGTCTCCTCTTCCTCCTCCTCCTCTCCCTCCTCATAGTGGTTATAATTTCAGAGAAGCGAATGCTCTGAAGTGATCATTACAGGCTTGGGTTTACACAGATGGTTGACAGAGTTTTGTCGCTCAAAAGGGAGTGCTTCCGTACAGTAACCGTAAACTTGGAGGGTCTGAAAGGCTCCTTCTGCTGTGTTAACCCCGGAACTCATCTGCAGAGTAGGAGACGCTGCCGTGTCGGCGAGTACATCCGTTCACACACGTGTGGAGCTGTCTGTCTGTGTCATTCACACACGTGTGGAGCACGCAAGTTCTGTCTTGTGGATGGAGTGCCCTCTGCACGCCACATTGACTGGCTGGGCCTTTCTTTGATTTGAGGCCTCGTTTCCGTATAAGAAGGGAAAGGACTTAGGGTCTGCCACACACGTCTGTCTAGGGTCACAAGGCTCCGGCCTCCCCAGGGTACAAGGCCGAGGTGGGAGGAAGAGACACCCATCCGGTCAGTCTACGACCACGAGGAAGGAGGCCCCCAGTCCCCTGCCAGGGGACTGACCACGCCTGGGATTTATAATAACGATGATTGCAGTGACAGCAGCAGCTGACCTTTATTGACTGCCTGCCAGACACTGTGTTTTTCCCATTTAATCCTGATCACAACCCTGAGGCCGAGACCATGATTATCCCCGGGAAACCGAAGCCCAGCAATTTGCCTGTTGTCACACAACAGTGTGTGTCTCCATACGAACACTGGAAATGTCCTCTTTTCTTTCCTGATAAAAACTGCATGAGCCCTGCCTGTCCCCTCCGGCTAAACACCAGTGCCTGTTTCCAAATGTCCTCCCTGAGCCTCAGAGTTGAGGATCTGTGGAGAGCATCCCCTGATACGTTTCTAGCCCTGTGCTGGTACGTTTGCGTGTGTCCTGTTTCCCACGCTGGAGATTAAACTCCCAACCATCGGGGCCCAAGAGTTCTCCTTCCTAGCTCTCCTAGGTGGCCAGGGCCCTGGCTATGGATGGCGTCTGCTTGGTCAATGTCCCCAGGGAGGCTGTTGATGGGCGATGACAGCTGAGTGCACGCCTCTCTTCTTAGGAAGGTTGGTTACTGGTTTCTTTGCCCAGGAGATGTTTCATGCCACCTCTAAAATAAGCCTGGTGGTGACTCGGGGCTCAGACAGTCAGGGGTGTGAGTTGGCAACCTGATGGAGGAGAAAACCAAACATAGTGAATCACATTCGAAGAGAACAAGCAATCTGGGGCCATTTAGCTTGGGAGCTGGCAATCTCCCTGCCTCCCAGGCCCCAAAGATTTCGCTGTGTGGCAGCATTTTGTTATTTATCCAACACATGTGCACATGTGTGTGTGCGTGCACACACACACACACAGTATCTAAAATTATGTGCCAGACGCTATTCCGTCACTTTATTACTATTAACTTGTTTAGTCTTCAGCAACCATCTGAAGTAGGGATTGTTGTCTTCACTATACAGATGGGGAAACTGAGGCACAGAGCGGTGACTCGATCAAGATACCAGAGTTAGTCACAGAGCCAGGATTACTGCCCTGCCAGATGGTACCATCATTCGTTATGACCATGCTCAACCCTTAGGAAAATGTGAAATCTTTTCAGCATGCCGATATTATGACAAAGAATCCTGTAATACACTTGCAAAATAGTTTTATGCAAAATTGTTATTTTCTTTCAGTTTTAGATACTTTCAGGAGTAAGTTCCAGTTAAGTAGAGAATTCTGTTCTTAAAGGAAAAGATCCCCTAACGTGAAGTGTGTGTTCAAAAAGAGAAAGGTCGAAGGATGCAAATAGTATTAATACACGACCTTTTCCAAAGCCCTTATCTGTGATATTGTGATTCAGGGCGAGTATGGACTTTGGTTCCTGTGCCGCCTCGAGGGATTACAGACTGGAAGCTGAATGCTGGGACCAGGACAGCCCAGCCGGGTCAGATGTGAAGCTAAAATCCCAGCCCTCCCCGTGCTTTCAGAGAGTGTATAACCCAGTAGAGAGAGGATGAAAAAGGTCCAAAAGTAACGATTGTATATAGTCCTCAAGCCCTCAAGTAACCTGTTTTAGTAGCGAAGGAATCAAAAAGCATTTTTGCCTTTCTTGTGCATCCTACACATACCAAACATAGTCCCAGATCTGTTATACATATTTCAGTGGATCTTTGGTGTTTTTTTTTTCCAAATCCTTATTTTAATTTGGAGTGGATTAAAACTAAGACATCCCTGGAGTCCCTTCTGTAAAATCCTGAATTGCAGGCATGGAAATGGAACCACAGAATATGTGCAGCCTTGGCCCCAGGCGAAAGGGACTCGTTCATTGTTTATTTCAGTTTCTCTTATTCATGAGAACTTGGTTTCCTGAACGGTTCGTCCATTTGGCAGTTTCTTGGTGAAAGACTTGAGTCTTGTACGTGCCTAATGTAACTTCTTACCAATATAAAGGGCGGGCTTATTTGGGGCTTGGTAAAACTTCCATGCCTCGAGACATACTCCATTTATAAATCAGCCAACAAGCATTTGCGACCTCTCTACCTTGTGCCCAGCACTCACTGATAAAGCCTGAGTTCTGTTCCAAGGGAACAGACTAATTAAGAGAAAATTGCTGGTGAGTAACTTGTCTTAGGCTCTGCTTTGAATTTCGCACTCACATGCTGTTCTTCTCTTTTCCCCTCAAGGGTCGAGATTACTGTTCGGAAGAAGAGGATATCACATAGCACCAATTCTACCACTCAAACCAGGAGCTACTTACTACTGTGTAAATAAGTTACACCCCAGTTGAAATCTTTGCAAAGGTCGGTTCTCTTCAGCGAACAGCTCTATAGCAAAAGAAGATCGTTCCATATCGTATGCCCCATTAAATTACAGTGTTTCTTAATGAACTCGCAAAGGAATATTGCTAAAAACAAACAAACAAAAAACTGTTCTCGAACTTTCTTTGTTGCTGCTAGTTAAAACTTGTTGCAACTTTTCACTTCTCTTGTGTCCAGGTATGCAGCAAAATTCTGCAATTTCACCTTAAAGATAACTGTTGGTTTTACAGATGCCCTCCAACCTATTTTCTATAAGATGAGGTAGTGGTGAACTCAGATATCAAACTCCTCTTGTAGAACTGTTCCGCTTTTAAGACGAGCGTTTCCTTCCCTCTCTCCTCCCTCCCTGTCTCTCCCGAGTGGTCCAGAGCCTTGCTTCTCACTTGCGCTTTGGAGATGGGATGGTCGCTATGGCAAGCTTTGTTTCTCTGCTATGAAGAAGTAGAGAAGCTCTTATGCATTAAAAGCATGTTGTGATGTGACTCCCAAAGGGACGTAGGGGTGAACAGCAGGTTTCGTTGAGTAGGGATCTTCATCAAGGATTAAGCTTGCAACATTGGCTTTGCTCAGATGCAGACGGAAGTGTGATCACAATCATTTTGAATCCCTCTTCCCCACTTTTTTTTCTAAGAAAATAAACATTTTACTGTTTTTATGTATCCTTGTCTTCTCCCATTCATCCAGTTCAGTGTTTCACATGATCCTGGGCACAGAAGATGAGCCCTCCTTTGCAGTGACACCGATAATCGACCTTCGTGGCTCCCTGCCCCCCCTCATCTGTCACCTCCCACGCATTAGCAGGGTTGTCAGTGGTCAGAAGAGATGAGGGGACACCCCCCCCGACTCTTTAGGAGGGCCTCACACCACCCTGTTACCTTTCATTTCATTAGCAAATAAGCCATCCTACTTTCTCACTCTCTCCCTTCAGAATGTTCCATGAGCCTTGCTACTTCCTCCTCCTCTTCCTCGAAGCATTGGCCAGGACAGCCCAAAGCGTCCGCCTCCTGGAAATGTAGTACGTTCACACTGGTGATGATATTTGGAGATGCAGAAGCCAAAGCCCCAGGGCAGTGGTGGGGAATATTGACTGTGGGTTTGGTAGAGTTTATTTTTCCATATTCTATGAAGAGAATGATCTCTTCTCGAAGACAGAAGTAATATTTTTAACAAATGTTGTCACAAGTAAATAGCAATCAAAAAGGAGAAAATAACTTTTGTATTTTTTTAACGCGTTTGATAGCTTTGGTGAGGGTTCTCTGTGTTGCTCTCCGGGGAGGGCACCCTTTAAATGCTATGCCAGGCTTGGGTTTGTCTCACAGAAACACAGTAGGAGCACTGGATGTATCTCTCCCGTGGGGTTTAAACCGGCATCGGCCACACGGCCACCCTCCGAAGGTGGGTAGTTATTTGTCCCGGGTGGCCACACAGCACCTGCCACAGAACAGAATCAGAAGCCAAATTTGCCCTTGCTGGGGAGATGAGCCTTGACTTTACTATCCATCCCTGGGCTAAGGGTGAGTGTTACCTCCTTTTAGACCGCGGGGCACGACAGTGAGGGGAAGGAAACTCAGTCCAGTGCTACAGAAAATGGACTCAAATGTTAGCAAAAAAAAAAAAAAAAAAAAACCCTTAGTTCTTTCAGCCAACAGCAGCTATTTTGGGGAGCAGCTGTGGTTGTTACATAAATAGAGATGCAGCCAAAATGTAAGGCTTTTTATCCTGCTTCAGGCAGAAAAATGCAGAGAGAGTCAAGTCGCCTAGGGTTTTAAGTTCCCTCCCTGTGTATGGGTTTTGGCCAAGCGACTAAAAGACTTTTCCTCCACTGTAAATGAGCTGCGGAGCCCCACATGAAACCTGTCCGCTTGGGACTTGGTCCCCTGTTAGGTGATTTCTTATTCTTACCAGGCAACAATGATGCCGACCAAACCATCTTCCGTGGGGTGCCTCTGTTTGGGGTCTCAGTGTCTTCCCGAAAAATCACCACCTTCTACCCAAAGACAAAACATACTTGTGTCATTTTTTCCAGTCATGTTTAACATGTGACGTGATACACGTGTGCACAGAGGGAAGTGTTTCTTGGGAGTTTGACTTTTGGGTGTTTCGTTAAACTAGAAGCCCGTTCCCGTGAACCAGGGCCTCTTCACCTGGAGTTCTGTCTCCTGGGTTTAAGTCTTTGATGTGCAGATGTGATTTCATCTGCAGACACATCGGTGTATCTAGAAATAGATCTGAGAAATGGGGTGGCTGAGTGGGTTGGCATGAAATGCTTGATTATGTTAGCAACACTCAAAACTTGTCTGTTTTCCATCATTGGCTTTAATCATAAAATTGTCGAGTGATTTGTGTTTGTACTTCATTTTTTTATGCCTTCTGCAAGGGTCTAATGCAAAAATAGTTCGCCTCCCTCCCCCCTCCCCCCCACGGTGTATCTGAACATTAAGCAGATTGTCTCAGATACGATGAAAAGAATCATCCAGAAACTAGTGCTTCTGCTAGCTGAGGACTCAGGGAGATGGAAGGTGGGAGGGAGGGGTGTGGCCTGGTGGGAGGAGGTAGGAAAAGGAAGGATGAGAAATGGACTGAGAAGCTTTTAGCAGAGAGAGAGCCAACAGCATGGCCAAGTGCCGGTGCAATTCAAACTCCAGCTGCCTGGCGGCCAGTGGGTGGGGCCGACTGCCAACAAGATTTACAGCTGGATTACACATGCTTTGTGTGTTCTAAGTTGTGGAGTTGTAAACGTTCAGCAGTATATGCGCTGCTTTCTTTTGATTGGCGGAGATTCAGGGTTATGGAGTACTTGCTGTCATAACTGAATACGCGTCTGTAACTGGCAGAGAACCTCAAAAGAAGCTTTTACCTCAGCAGTGCCTGCTGGCCCCAGGCTGGAGCATAGAGCCGTGTTATGGTCTATTTAGGGACAAAGAACAGTACGAAGTCCAGAGACAAGGAAACCAGGTCAGCCCTCGGTGGCCACCCGTGGGCCCCCTGGGAGACAGGTCTCTCCCCCTCCGTAGAGCCCCTGGCCTGAGATGGGGCTCCTCTGACTCAAATAAGAAATGAGATAAGCCGGTACAGGCGTAGCGTCAGGTCACCTGGGCTCTGTATTGGCCCGGCTGCAAGTCAGGGGCGCCCCCAGAGTCAGAAGTGACCACGCCCGCGACCTCACAGCCCCCGGGAGCAGCCCAGGGACGGTGGCACCCCCTTCCTGGTCCCATGTGATGCCACCCTGCTTTGAGTTACAGCTCTGCCCTCCTCCCAACCTCATCAAGACTTTCTTCCTCTAAGGGCCAGACTCCCATAAGCCTGCTGAAAGCAGAGATTATACCTCTCATGAATTTTACCTCAGAGCCTGTGATGCAGACCAGCATATTGATTACAAATTCTGCTGAGACATTAGGCAAGAATCTTCAGAGCGCTCCATCTCTACTGGCCTTAGAAAAGCAACTCCGTTAAATATGTAGATTTCCTAGGAAGAAAAATGATCAAATTCTTCATCCAAGAAAATACTGACTCTGAATCTTGGACTCCAGGACTCTGGTATGTTCTTTATGAAAGGCAAAATGATTAGTGTCTAAAGCAGCCTCCCGACTCCCAACTCCCAAATTAAAAAAAAAAAAAAAAAAAAAGGGGGCGTATTAGAGTGCACTGTATAATTTTACATAAAATCTGCCTTCCATGCTTCTGCCTCTGGAAGGCATTTTCAGAGCTTTATTTCTTTGTACCTCTCAGAAATAAAGCTTTTTGGCAAGTTGCTTGAAACGCCAGTAGGAAAAGAAGACCGGGTGGAGGAAAGGGAATATGTATTGAGGGGCATGATGACAGGGTTCCTTCCAGAAGCAGGAACATTGGCTTCTGGAAGTCACGTGCGGACTGCTAGACCCCCACGCGCTTGCGTGAAGCTGGGGAGGGCAGTCGGCTTTCACGCCGCCGCAGATGTCCTTGCAATAAACCTCTGGACTTTGGTGAATGGGTTGCATGGGTTGCCTTTTGCCAATGAATGCACATGTTTTTCCAAGGGGAAAACACGTCCTTTAGTCACCTTTTTGTGTGTCTCTGGAAAAGGGTCAAAAAGCTACAGCAGAAAATGAGGATGGTGGTGCATGTATTTACTTTTGTGACAAACCCGAAGGCTCACTAGCTATAGCACGTTTTTCGGGAGACTCTTGTACCTTACCTGCGAACTCATCTTCATCTTGGGGAAAGAGGAAAAGGAACTAATATTTATTAATTATACTCAACTCTGTGCCAGATACTGTGCTAGGCATTTTATAATCGTCTCGTATAATCCTCACCATAGTCCTGTGAAGCGAATCTGTCCCTCTCATGTTCCAAGTAGCGTATCGTCAGTGCAGAACGCATCTATCCAACGTAAATGCCCATGTGGAGAGAAGGAAAGGTGTCATTCAAGTTTTTTCCGAGTTTTTTATTATTACTATGCCCTTGGCAACACTGTGAAAACAACCTTTTGAGGGCATCTACCTTCCCGACTCTCTCTTTGGCTCATCACCAGCTGGCTTTGCCAGGGGGAATGTTTTACTTGGCCTTCCCGTATCTGATGAGCTGCCCACAAACCAGGAGCGGCCACCGGCTAACAGGAATGTAGTGCCCACAAGAAAAAGGCTTTGGGAATTTAAGCACAGATCTCTCTGCTTGGAATCCTTACAGCATCTGGAAAAGGGACCCGGGACTTCTGTAAATGCAGAACACCAAATGCAGCCAGGACAAGCCTTTGAGTGCTGTGATTTCTTCCCTGGCTCCCAAGGCTTATTTCATCATAGGCTGTACCTTTTTAAGGTGAAGGGCCCTAACCTTGCAGAGAAGTGTGGGGGAATCTGATCTCCAAAGGTAGAGCAAAGGCCTTGACCACTGACTTACAATCCTTTCTTGTGGGCCGGGGCTTGGTGTCTCTTTTTGATGTTTGAACTGAGGTCTGTATTTTCCAGGCTAGTATAAGCCCTGAAACTAGATGTGAATCTCTCTCAAGACCTTAAGTGTTTTGGATAGTCATGTAGGGACTTGAATAGTCATTTAAATACCTTGTCCAAGGTCAGAAGAGCCCAAGCATTCCCCAGAGTTCCATTCCTTCCTTTAAAGGCACATCCTCGAAAGGAGATGACTCACATCTCCATGGCAACTGTTAAAGGTGCTGCCTAGAGGGGACCCACCCCTGCCCTCACTTGGCTTGAAAGAACCAAAAGAAATGCCTAGTGTCGAGGGGGGGCCTATGTTCAATTTTCCTATGAAAACTCTCCCCAGCATCTCACCTCTTTCAAACCTGGCAGCTGTCAGATTCCTTCAAGATAACGTGGGAAATGCCTCTTGTCTCTTGCAAGCCAGAGAAATGGCTTTAATTCAGCAAGATTCATTCCTAAACCAAAGGCCTCATTCTAATACTGTCTTCCGCCACTACCCAGAATTCTCTGTGTTTCCCTTTCCAGGAGTTATTTTTAGTCCAGGGCTTTGAACTTGATTGAGTAAGACTTAGAGGCAGTAAAAAGAACCCCGTACACTCAGCCAGAACTGCCTTAGGGTCCCTAGGGTTGAAAATAGCTCTGGCACCTTAGGGACCACTTGGCCTAGACCCAGACGTGATCAAAGAGCCCCTGTTTTTTTGGCATTTCAGTCCAGACCTTCAGGGACTGTTCTTTCTTGACAGGCA